ACTGCATCACTTTGAAGATCGGTTTAAAGCCAAACGACGGCATAAAAACGTCTTCGTCTGATGATATCGGTCTTCAAATCTCTTTATCAGGCGCTTTGGCACCAAATGAATGCCTTCAAAACGAGGTATTGAGTGAGTTGATTGGTTCATATGAAATATGAATCTAAAAGCATACAGGTGTGTATGCTTGTCTGCGCGTGTGGGCCTTCATGTATAGGTATGGATGTGAAACTGGCAGCAATAGCTCTAAGTAACAAGATGATGTAGTGACCCCTTCTTTTATAATCTACCACTCCACTTACCCAATGCCAGATACACAATTCTGCTAAAGCAGATAAGTCAGTTTTGTGCATGTGCGTGTGTGTCTGTTTGTGTGCATGTGTATGCGAACTAGTAAGTACCAAAAATGTGATCGAACTGAGAAGCCTGACCAAGAAAAGACTAGTCGAGTCGCCTCCCTTTGATGGGCGTCTCGATAGCCTCTCTATCCCTTCGTCCAGCTCATAAAAATGCATCGGTTTCGAGTACATATACCACATGAGGGCATTGGCGTGTGTGGTTTCTTGGCTCGTTAGCTCAAAGTAAAGACAGAAATGATATACCAGACTGTAGGTATGTCTATCCAGCGGCATGACAGTCGATAGCTCTACTCGTCGTCAGGGCAACCGAGGACGATAGCCTCGAGGATGGGTTGAGTGGAGCCAAACAACAGCCGGTCGAGAGGACTTCGCCGTGGAGCTCGTCTGCTGGTGGGCTCAACGTAAACGACGCTCTGTCTGCGAGACGTACGTCCGTTCAGTCGAAATGGCGGGGAGCTTGCTTAAGTTGGTACCGGACAAGGGAGGAATGACGCGGGCTCGTGATCAACTGAGGATGACTTCGGCCGACCGAATCAACGAAAACCCCGTTTCGTTGAGCCAAGATGGCTCGTCAGACGCCTTAGTGGACAGTAGTTGCAAAAGTAGTACATCCAAAGATGGTGAAGAAAAGACTTGATGCAATAGAGGGCTTGGATTGGGTGCCAATGTATGGAAAAAGCAATTTAAGCGAATTTTTTTTGGGGAAAACAATTTAGTTATGTGTAAACAAAAGGGTCGGCTTGCCTCATTGCCGCGATAACTAAAGACAAATAAACATAAGATTACGTGAGTCGTCTCGATGAACAAACACTGGAAAGAGATCTTAAGCCAAAAGCATGTTAAAATCCTCTTCTCACTCTTTACCTTGGAGAAGACAGACGAGCAGCACAGCCCGAGCAGGCATTATCGAATTGCTCCAAGGTGCAAGTGAAGAGTGCTCTGCTCGCAGTAACCAGAACAGTTGCCCGGGTAACTGCGAAGATTGCCAGGCAGCCATCGATCGGGCCGGTTTGGTGCACTGATTCTGGGAGGTGTTGACGGGGCCTCTGGGTCTGTGGACGTCCGGTTGGACGTTCGGATTTATCGTTGCTGGCTGGGGAGGTCGGATGGAAGCGCCCCATTGGCCGAACAGACGAGACCTTTGACGGGTTCCCAGCCCCGGGGACTCGCCCATTGTCGAGGGGAGGAATTGAAGATTCCGCCGATATGGCCGAATTCACAGAAAGGATCCTCATCGTAGGGTGGAGTGAGGACTATTGCACTGTTGCTGCATTCATCAGAGCCACTTTATCTTGCCTGGTTTTACGTGAATGATGCCTGCAGACCACAAAGCTCAACTTCACCTCGAGACTTACTCGGTTTTCGGTGAAGCCCATTCACGAAACTCTCTTCGCCAGATCCGCGATCCATGCTGTTCGGGCCTGAATCGAGCCTGATGGAGGCTGAAGCGTCCAACTTTTGCGTGTAGAAGAGATTCTTGCAGAATCAAACTTTGTTTAAATATCTGATGTTGTCTTATGAATGCCTCTTCTGGCTTCTTTTAAGGCAAATTTACACATTCTTTTCACGAAATGAAAGGTATATTTCCATTATCAGTTTGTAGCTGAAGTCTTCAAAACCCTGTTTTTCTTCGTTTTTGGAGAATCGACCTATTGCTTGGCCTCTTCTGGTCGCAGCTTGCTTAAGGCTGTAGTTGCTCACTTTACTCATTGTTGAACCAATCAAAT